ACCTAAAGTTCATATAATATGGCTCATAGTTCTTGTATCATAATGAGATCTCATTCCCTCATTTGCTAATCAAAGAAAGTTTTTGCGCCTGCGTTAGAATTTCTTTAAGCTCCTCCCTTTGAGCAACAGGTGACACGACTCATGGAAATGACAAATTGGAGTCACTGACAGAATGAATTCTTAACATTACACCTTTTTTCTCACAGACCAATACATCACATACTATTAAAAAGTTACGAAAAGAACGAGTGAATATATCGTTCACAATAGATACTTACATTCGTTTGATAGGAGCGAACGCACACGCTATGAAACACGTAATAATAAGCACAGCACAAGTTCAAGCACCTTATATTAGAGCTTAAGAGACGACCGGTCGGAAAGACGTCTGGACTTAGAATGTCTCATGATGATGGCTGGGTCGTTCTGTGACAGGGTCTGTGGGGTCCCCGCGGGGGGTGGGGGGCGAGGGGACCAGCTGGGCGGAGCGTCGCAGGTGTATCAACTATGAAGTATGATGTATGCGTGAGTTAACATTCGTACACGCCTTATTGTCACGCGCGGACGCTGCTAGGGACGTTGATACGTTTATTGGATGCGTCGACGGATATAGGAAACAAACCGTGACCATACGGATCCATCGTCATATGGAAACATGGTCATTGGGGACCGTGATCGTATGGAATTTACAGAATACAGAGCTCCCTGATTCGTTAGAAACAACTGCCAATATGTTTTTATTCTATCATTGATATCTTGGCTGGTGCGAGGCCTTCAGGTCAATAGTATATTTGGATTTAAACCACTATTATTATGATTCTGAAAAGCAATCCTTTTAAAGCTTTGCGTGGATGCTTGCGAAGCTTTCGCAACGAAGTTACTTGCTTATTAATATGAAAGTTAAAGGTATTTTTCTACATATTAGAATAAATTTTAATAAACACAGACAATACTTGAACTAACAAAAATAGTTTTTTAAGCAGCACTAGATTGTAGAAAGAACTTATGGGAATCAGGAAATATATATCATACTAAATTGATATATGTATATGAATAATGTTACAGAGGTTACAATGTTATATTTCTTACTATTATTTTTGGACACATGGCCTTTATGTAAGAAATAATAATGCGATATCTTCATTTTATTCAAAATATAATTTTTAAATAGCGACTATATGGAAAATCAAAGAAACAACGATGAAATTGTTAATATAAAAAACGAACGACGAAGTCGTTGGTTATTAGCAATTATAGTTTAGATATTTAGAACAGAAATCCTTTATTAAGTTATTGATTATAGTACGTAATGATATAGAAGTTTTCATTTAGATGATGTAGTTTCGTAAGAAGCAAAACTAAAAATTAAAATTAGTTCTAAAATAATAATAATAATATATAATTTCAACATTACTTTATAACTCGTAAGTCATAACTAATATAAATAACGTGCAACATGGATCTCTTATAAAATACTAGCCGTATTTTTTTTAATTTTTTTTACTAAAATCATAACAATTTCATTTAAAACGGCACACATTACTATAACAGCAAGGAAAAAATGGATCTAGTATAGGCATATATATTTGAAGTACATTAACAGTAACTCAAAAGAAATTCTCATTAGTATGAATAATTAAAAATCTATTCGCTCCCAGATGGCACCGATGATAATATTATCAATTTTTTGACAGACTAATATCGTTTAGTGATCATCTCTCAACTGTTATCTGACACAGGATGCGAACACTTAAAACTTATCGCTATCTCGACTGGTTTATAAAACTAAATTATATGTAACAAAAAATGTATATGAGATAAGAAACTACCCTCAATATCATACATACTAGATGTGCTTTCAGACTTTGCTTATTTAATGACAATTTATCTATGAAATATTCAAGAAGAAAAATTATTATCGGATACATTTAATTCTGATTAAGGCTTGATATAATTATATATCATTGATAGTGCTTAAACAATTGTCCGTGTGACTTCTATGATTATAAATTAAATCATCATTGATAAAGTTATCATATTAATGTAATAAATAAAAACATCAATAATAATAAATACATACATTTATCACAAATACAATCAGTATACTTACGACAAGTTTGTGTTACGATACACTAAATACGAGCTAATTCTCGTTTTTCATCCAACAATTACTACGTAAAGCGTGTATGAATTTTAAACTACATATATTTCGTATTTATTGGTATAGAAGCAACTTATAGTAAGCATAAATCTACAATGTTGCATCAATTATAACATTATTTATTGATATATCCCTTACTTGTAAGCGCTTAAATAGTTCACATATGAGTTAATTCTACATATAAATGAATAATTCATACATATTCTTAGAATTATAAGGAAAACTCATAAAAACTTATCTCTTTGGTATGTCATGTACCATAATCTATCATGTTTGATTTGGTAATATTGATTAATAATAACAGCTAATATTATATTGTAATATAAAAATACTTTAAAATTACACATTTTATAAAATAAAACTGGCCCTAACAAAACTGAAATTGTAAACAGATAAATGAAATAATTATTTTCGGATTTACTACGCGAGTTTTAATATTTTTGACGGTGATCACGGTTGCTGTAAAGTAACCGAAACGTCGGGGGTATGAAGTTTATAATCAAAAATAAAAATCGCGTAGTAAATCCGAAGATATTAGTTTCATTTAAATGAGTACTCGCGAAAATCTCATTATTTTAAACCGATAATTTAAAAAAAAAGTAATATCTAACACGAAACATTTTGAAATCAATTTTATGTTGTACATTTATTATAATTATATTTGAAATTTTTACAATGGTTAGATTCACGTCGGAATATAGGCGAAAGCTTTGTTTAGTAAAACAATGAACATATTTCTAATATCTTTTAAATCTCATTAATATTAGCCCTTGTTCAAACAGAAATGAATTTTAGCTACGGAGAAGATTTTATATACCAAGAATACTCACTTTACGCAGCTTTACCCTCTAACCGATTACTATATCTTTATTATATAGAAATAATTACTAAATAAATGTCGATTTTGTTAATAACATACAAAAATCCGTTAGCAGATTCTAACACATATGTATGTATGTATCCATTGGAACACACTTTCGTATTTATAAGTAGTATTAATCATCAGCAACAACAAAAAAATCTGTACTCACATTATTCTATATAATTAATGCTCCAAGTCGAAGCAGTATAAATCGTTTTCATTATCATACGTCGATATGATTGTGGACGGGTATACTATTTATCACGGCACACAATTTTTCGCTTAGAGCGCTTGACTCATGTAATATTTATGTACGTTGTTAGTTAATTAAGCGGTCACTATAGATTTATGTGGTACAGTCCACCACTCAAGTTGTGTCGGATATATCAATTCTAACATTAACTATTACATGTGAAAGTAAAAGTAATTATAATTTTAAATGTATAATTATCAATTATTTAAGTTACACTCGTACCTTCGTAATGACGTCTATTGTGAAGTGACGGGGAAAGTTAGTTCTTAAATTGAGAACACGCGTGTTATTTTTTTTTTGTTTCTCTCTGAATATATTTTGATTATAGGTAATTTTTTTTTAATAGAGACCCATATAATAATTCTTAATATAAACGTTGATACTGGCATAATATAAAAAAATCTGTGTAAATAAAACCATATCATAATAAAAAAGAAAACAGTTACATCAAGAGAAACATTTAAGTTGAACTTTGTTCACGACTTGTACACCAGTCTCCGTGATCATCAAATATTCGAGCTTGATTTAATATCAATTAATGATTATAATGATTGTAACGAACGATTATAAATCATTAGAATTGTTCATCTCAAAGATATGTCACAACCATCGAGGTATGTATGAAATGTATGTGTTTGTGTCATTTGTTGTGTCACAACTAACTCTGAGCGTATATAATGTATGTATTTGTGTCATTTTGTGTAAACTTTAATTGGATTTACATGCATTATGTTATAAATGGCAAACGGTACGTGTTTATCAAATGACATTTCCCATTATTTATATGTCGATGCTTATTCAGTACGTATGAAAGGTTCTGTGTAAACATCGTGAAAGGTTGAATGTTGTACTATCTTTGATTTAAATATCATCTATGTAAAATTTAAAGAACTTTTATATCTATTTATATGTAGAAAAAAATACAATTGATGTCTTACTTCAAAGATATAATTTTGAAAATATTTTTTTTTGTACATAGTACATTCAAAGTAAACTACTGACTGATTAGTACATTCATTTTTAATAATATATATGATATTGTGACAATACTGAACTAAGTCATTCATTTAACAAGCACCATATAACTATATAACCTTTCCCAGTCGAAAGCCATTCACATATAAACGGTGCGATCATTAGCAGCCATAACATTTGCATTAAACCATTCCACCAGATAAACAATAAAACATACATCCAGCCTTACCAGCCGGGGTCTAACAATACAGAACAATAAATCCAAGCCAGACACAATCTGGAGTTGGCTTTCCATTCGCCACACGGGAGTGATATCAAGCTACGTCGTTTATAATTCAACAACAATAAACAGTTAGTTAATTGCGAGCCTGTCACGGGTACACTATATGGTAATGAGGCGTAAGGATCGCGACTCCACGGACAATATCTTACAACGGTGAAAGGTATGACGGAATTTGATGATAAGCGGTCAGCGACCCCGACAGATCACGACAACGGATTTGGCATATGAGTATCTTAAACTATATATACTTCTTTATATTTAAAAGTAAACTTAAACAATCGACAGTTATATACCAAAAATTTAGAAGCAATAAAAAAATAAGAAATCAGATGAAATTTCGTATTGAAGAAAATGATCAAAAAATTTCTATTAAAGGATTGATTTGCGTATCGTAAATTTATTAACTAGTATAGATTTTAAAGATGTCTCTTAACTTGGACCATTCTAGTTAAATGTTTGCCAAGCCATGCCCCGTGTCGGAGAGATAGGTGCAGTACCTACATGCGCTTTCAGGTTCCTACAATCTGAACAGCTGACACCAATAGGTTTTTATCAACTAATCTCCTCTGTGAAAGTAGAAACGATGGAAGGTGGCTCCGGAGTCACAATAATGTTGCATAAGTATTTTCTTATCTTGTAAGCACTTAATAATTATTGGCCTCTAATAATTTATTTATTAGAAATTAATTCAATATACATTTGTTTGAAATTTTACAGATTTATAGTTCAGAATTTATAGTTAAATAAATAAGGAAACTAATTGCAATTATTTTATAAATGTAAACAAAAAAACTATATTATTATAAAAAAAATATGTTATAGTTGCCAAAACCGGTAAGAACTTTAACCACAGTAAGAAATTGCTAAAAGTTATGCTTCCCTCACTGACGACATAAAAAATATGTATATTAAAAAATGAAATCAGAGAGTCTATTCGTAAATAACATTTAACCATTTGAAAAATCCGTTAAATGTAGGCTATTTTATCATACGAATTTAGGCACTAATTTCAAAGACAACGTATTTGTCAATCAGATTAAAAGTTAAGACAATACAATTTTATTTTACAGTTTTCAAGTCACTGTTCTAAAGTACACTGTTTCACTGTCACCAAGTGTGAATTTAACAGAGGGCTTTCCGAGAACTCGAATGAAACAACATAGTGACGATAACGCCTAGCCAAAGGAGATTTAAAATACGAGCAAAGCCGGCGGCGACAGCTAGTATCACATAAACTTAATATTTCATTAATTAGGATTAGTGTCTATAAACATTTTGCAATATTTTTGTACAATTTATCTATTATACATTATTTTTAATGAGAAATGAAAAGTACATTGATTCTGCTCTTATTTAAAGATATTATGAATAATTAAATCTATTTAAATAAATACAACTAAACATCGTAAAAGCGTGTTTTAGCTTAAGCAATATTCGTGGAATTAATTTGAGCTCACTAATGACTACATACTGTTTACTAACAAATTTGCATCATCACACATACGAGCAATTATAAGTTTCCCATTTGAGAAAATATGTTAATACTATAATGAGTAAGGATGTATCCTTAGAAACTAGACACGCTCCGTATGTAGTAAGTTGTGACGATCCAAACTAGTGGTAAGCGTACTAAACAAATATTATTATTTGATATGGTGAATTCTATTTAACAAGCTATTGCGTTACAAGGATTTCTTTCTAAATAATAGGTACTTACAGTTACGCTAATACTACGAGTATGTTTATTTCTACTTTAATGAATACGAAGCTTCTTTAAATAAGTTATTATTTGCTATTAAATATACATTTTTATTTCGCTTTTATATTTCTAAGTAAACAGATATTTATATCATTTTACAAAAAATACTATAGCAACTTCTATTTCGCAATCCTCGTACATAAAGTATTGCCATTCCCGGCGGCCAAGATAACATTTCGGGCGTGTTTTTCCTCTATACGCCCATTGACCGGCCCATTATAATTTTATATCAAAGGATTGTACAATAACAAACAAATAATAACAAAGAACCAAATAAATAAACTGACATAAAAATAACAAAAAAAAAAGGAATATTTTAAAATAAATTCAATATCCTTCCAGTTAAAACAAAAGCGAGTCACGTATAACCAATATTACCTTTTATAACGATAATAAATGCTATATAAAATCGAATGAGATCCGTCACAACTCGAAGGTGCAGTAATGAGTTCACAAATAGTTTACGATCTAATTAAATGCCGGTTCAATAATAAACGTAGTTGGGCTTTCTGTTACCTTTAAAGTATGTTGATAGTGCATTGAAATGTACAATTTTGTTCTGGACATATACAATAACCTATAAGAACACTAATATATTTAATAACTTCCAAATTTATGACGAGAAAAACTCATTTTATTGCTTATATATAAATTAATCAAAAAGTAAGTGTTGGAAGTTTTATTTAAATAAACATATCATGACATTCATGAAGAATACATTTAATTTGAATAATATACATAGATAGTTCTATTTATTAAGTAGTCATATAATATATTTATAAGTAATAAGAACATAATATAGTAGCATAAATTTTACATTTTATCTCAAAATAACATTAATAATATTGAAATATAAAACAAATTTAATAATAGAATTCAATGCCAGTGTTTAAGATAAAGTAAATGGCTATACATTGCAATTATTTCACTGTATTATTATAATCAAATGCTATATTTTTATACGTTCCGTTACAATTCATACAGATAAGGATTACTGGGAGATAACGATAAAAGCATACCCTCGTACAGTATGCAGTTCCAAGTTTAGGAGCTAATTTATTATAGACTAAGTATTAACAGAATTTATTCTTTACTAGCTTTCCGCCCGCAGCTTCGCCCGCGTGGAGTTCGGTTATATCGCGTTTCCAAGAGAACCTTTCAAAAGTCTGGGATAAAAACTACCCTATGTTCTTTCTCAAGGTCAGCTCTATCTCTGTACCAAATTTCATTAAAATCAGTTCAGTGGTTTAGGCGTGAAAGCGTAACAGAAAGACAGACAGAGTTACTTTCGCATTTATAATATTAGTAGGGATGCATGACAATTTTGTTAAAAGAGAATAGAAAGATGAAAGTTAAACCACGATGTATTATATGCGGAATTGTGAATTTACAATTAACAAGATCTGTATATACAGATATAAATGTTATATTTCGAGTACATATTTCTTAGTAGATGTTGAAGTGTAATTGTTATTATCACACATTACTGAATAAAATATGTACAGTCGGATATCCAATTTCACGGGCACTAAATAAAATTACAACCATACGGACAGAGTGAAAAATAGCTTACGATAATTCCTATATATATATTTAGTTTCATATTATTTTAAACACAATAAATTAAGCAAACAGCATTAAATAGAGACCGAACAGTTTAACGATAATTACATTTCAACATATAACTTAAATTGTTAAAAGTTATATATATATCCAATGAAGTGATTATATTTCCTCTATGTTATATGCTATATTAACCATATATAAATCACAAAATGAACCAAATCTCAAACAATCAAATCGTCTGGACTTGATAAGGTAAACAAACAAAACGCAATTACCAGTCTCCGTTACTTGGAAGGAGCATCTCTATGGAACTCAGCCAGCCTCAACTCGCACTTGGTCGTTAGGAGCCGTGAGATTATCGATAATAATGGTAATTCCATACACGTGTTGCATTTCTTCGATCGCGATCCCAGACGTCCTATTACAACGTACCAAGATGGTCAAAGCCGGCTGCGAGATTCCATTGACCAGGTACACTGAACTATTTATTCAGAACATATGTATGTCTTATAAGAATCATAAATGTATGTAAGTTTATTATAGATGAAATTTGTAGTATGTATATGGGTGGTTGGAATATAAATACGAATACAGAGTCGAATCGCGACGTGATAAATCCATGATACGCTCATATAAACAAACAAGTCGAGATCATTTTAAGTGCAAGCTTCAAACAGAGTGAGCCGGACAACAGTCGCTGTTCTAACAGTGCGGGCTTCGTATTTATGTGATGTCCAGCCCGGGGTCCCATAATGGCAACACAATATCACAATACTGGCATAGATTTATGCTCAGGCGCATCGCCTTCGCACGCGGAAATCCCATAGTTATTTACCGGTTGCCAGTTAAGTGCGGCAGATTTATCGGTTGTGGAGCCGCGCCTCGCGACGATCTCGTTTCTCTTGTGCACTATGATAAATACCATCTAGTCCTCTATCATCTAAGCTCTGAGCTCACACCGCGCGGTCAGGTTAAATTTAAGTGAATAATTGCGAAATTGCGTTGATAAACCGTTAAAGTTACAAATTACTGGCAAATAATATGTAAGATTAGGAACGCGGTACAACATACACCGTGATGAATCAAAACAGCTCTACTGCTTGCTTTAAACTATTATGGATTATATGGTCATTAAAATTTTACATAAACATACATAACAATATACTAACATTTCTGTTATGTTTAAAATCATCACTGAACACATTTATAACATTCAAATTATATCTCGTACGTATCTATTTGTCAAGCGTGTTGACGTTTAGTATATCACTAACAACAGGCGTATGATTATCACGTGTGAAATTACATTCGGTCGTTTGTCAAGGAGCTCTCCGTTGTATGGTGATTAATTTCATTAGGCCGCTCTTAATCAAATGCAGCGGACGACTCTTGGCCTTTATTAGGCGTTACATTGAATATAATCAATTTACAGACCTTATTTGTTACATCATTTGTTTCCGAGACACATCATTTGTACCATTAAACCTATTACAGTCATCGTATACAAGCTCTAATAATATTTTCTTTATCGTAAAATAGAAGGGACATCCAATAATTATACAAAATAGTAACATTTACTTATTAAACGCTTACAATACAGACTAATTCTCAGGAGCGAATTCAACAGCTCATAAGAGAAGACAATACATCAAACAGACACGAAACACTGAATTGTAGATTGGCATAATGGCATCCGCCCGAGGCTTGAGACTAACATACGAGAACATTACAACGACAGGTTTGACGCTACGAATAACAGCAACTTGCTCCGTAAAATATTAATAAAGGACTCGCTATATTAATGACAACACGAGCATATATTAGCAAACAAGACTCCACGAGGGACAAGATAATGTTGCTTGAAATAAATCCTAGACCAAGTAACGAATGAACCGGCCGGTTATATTGCAAAAACGATTTAAAACACAGCGCACATTGTTACTTGTAACGTGATATTGTTATAAATTGAAGGAGAGATTTAAGTGATCATAAAAATGTTAATTAAAAACTAAACTATCGTTCGGGATTTATTGTATGACATAATACCTAATATATCTAACGGCTGTGTCGGTACATTGTTATTAATTTCTTTGGTAATTATATTAAGAAAGACGACGGCTATTAAAATACAGAACAGTCAAGGTAAATATTGTAATAATGGAAGAAGATAAAAATAGAATTGAATCGTTAGTTCCTGCAAAGAAATATCGTAGGGTTATGTACTAGCTAGATAGGTTGTGATACATGACAGGGTCTCAAGTTTGGGAGGGGTGCCCAGAAAACAATCAAACCTCCCAGCATCCAACATCCCAATCAACCAGAACAAATAGCGGTCATTTGTCCAACATGATCCTTTGTTTAAAAAGAAAAGTATAAATTTCGCTCATAAATCTTGACTACGTGTGATGTTTGGATCGAAGGTAATTTTTCATACGCATGAATGATTTGCATGTTATAAAATGTAATATACAATAATATCTTCAACGGGATTTTCCCTTAAATTTATGTATTATATACGACTATATTTATTATAACTCGACTAAATATATTAGTTACAATGACATATAAATTCACATACATTTGCATAGTACGCGAATAAGGGAACGAGGTTCAATCAATACATTGGACTAATAACTATTGCGATGTCATATTTAAACACGTTTTTATATACAAGATCATACATGTGTTATATATTATTAAAAATATATTCATAGTTTGAGTAAAATATCGTTGTTAATATAATTTATATTACAAGTGAATATGCGGGTGTTGGAATTATAAGACGGTTGACCACGGTCAATAATACGAAACAATAACTCATACAGTTAAGCGGATTAGTGACAGTCCACTGACAATTATAACTTATAATATATAAACATATGGCATTTATTATATTATGAAAAATGTTTAATTATTATATTTATTACGATACAAATGATTCTAAATGATTTAAATAAGATAAATATATTATGTTTAACCGTTAAAATAATATTTATAATGTAGATATTAGTGAAATATTTTTAAGTAAGAATTAAAACTTAAATGAAACTAATATTTTTCGGATCGGAAAAATCGCCTAGTACATCCCGTACTACGTGATTTTTAGTTTTGTCAAAAACTACATACTCCCGACGTTTCAGCTACTTTACAGCAACCGTGATCACGGGCAGACGAGATGTGAGTGTCGTGTCACTCAAAAATATTAGTTTCATTTAAATGAATACTCGCGAAAATCTTAGATCTCATTAGAATTATTACTTTTATATATACATCTAATATGGTATAATTATTATTTGTACATGAATAATCAAAAAACTTATCATGCACTAATTTCAAATAAATCATATCGGTTAATATAAATTGACAGAACTGACTTATAAATTTTTATAATATGTAACAAAAAAATAGAATATACTTTATGACAACTTACATTAAATATTTTAATATTAAGCTGCTTCCACACAATATAATAATTAATTGCTCCAATTGTAATTATAGACTAAATTTCAAAGAATCAAAAATTATGCATACAATATGATTTCATGATTATTAAAGTATTTTTAAATAAAGATACAAAAACATAATACATATAACTCGATATAGTTGATAATTACAAAACATTTTCAAGTTAAAAAAATAATTTTATTTCTTGAATAAATAAATGAATAAGATAAAATTATATATATATAATTGATCAATCCAAACAAGAGTCTTCTAAATCCGTTGACCATTCAATTAGAGAGCTTTAAAGTTGTTAAGTAACTTATAACAGATTGTCGAAGATTAACCAAGAAACATGGAACATCATTAATAAGGACAATCTCCAATATTTAGGCACAAATAACATAAATCTATGGAATAATTTATGTTATTTTAACAACTTATAAGATAGGCTATTATAAAATTTATTATTTATAAACAGTTGTTGTGTAAGAAGTATTTGTTAAGAGGAAGCCATTTTCGAATTGATTTGTATAAAACCATTGAATTAATAAACGGGTTTGACGATAAAATATTAATGTAATCCCTACTAATAATATAAATGCGAACGTAACTCTGTCTGTCTGTCTGATTTTAATGAAATTTAGTACAGAGATAGAGTGGACCTTGAGAAAGAACATAGGATAGTTTTTATTCCAGACTTTTGAAAAGTTCTCTTGGAAACGCGATATAACCGAACTCCACGCGGGCGAAGCTGCGGGCGGAAAGCTACATAGTAGGATATAAACATCAAACATATTCTAAATACATTAAAACTATGATCAAATTAATTATATATACGAACGAGAACAAAAATCAATTTAGAGTTAGATAACAAATAAATCTTGGTAATCTTAATAGCATCTGCGATAATTATTTGTAAGCAGTGTTTCAGAAAATGGTTTCAATTAAGCGAATTATCTGAGTTTAATTGGAGTGGTTTAACCCGTGTTGGATCTACGTAAAGAAACTGGAAGCGTTTATAATTATATCTAATCTTCTCTAATATATAAAATTCTCGTGTCACAGTTTTCGTGCCCATACTCCTCCGAAACAACCTGACCGATTTTGATGAAATTTTTTGTGCTTATTCGGTAGCTATGAGAATCGGCCAACATCTATTTTTCATCCCCCTAAATGTTAGGGGTAGTCCACCCCTAAATTTTTTTTTTTATTTTTTAGACAAAATTTTTAATTACTATTTTTTTATGATACAACGTACAAAAATACATACAATCCTAAATTTTCACCCTTCTACGATCAACCCTTATTTTTTAATAGCTATTTTAGTAATTTAATCATTTTTCATCTCCGGTCGATAACTGATCAATCGTCATTTAATAAGTTATCCCCGCCAGATATCTACAGGTGTCACTTCTGACCCAGTAAACAGCACGGAGTAGGGATGAGAACGAAGCCGGTCTTCTGTTTCTCTCACACAATTAGACTTCTCTCACTCCCTACACAGTTGTCGGCCATCGTTATTGTTTGTGCATCAAGTGTAGTAGTAACGTTGACAATTATTATTTTGCTAGCTCAGTGTAACTCTCATATTAACTATTAATCATTCGTAATCACTTCAAAACACGGAGATTTATGGCTTTAATAGGTAAACTCCAAAAATATAAATAAAAAAACGTAACAGATATTTCTTGATTATAGGGCGAAACGAAGTTCGCCGGGTCTTCTAGTATATATATATATTTTTTAAATACAATATACAAAATTTCGATGAGAGAGGCTATGTCAAACAGTGGACCTCACATGATTGAAGCTACGATATTAATAAATTTAAATTACGATAAATTTCACAAGTAACATTGTAAAATATAATGAGATCAAAACCTTTTGAGAGTATTAATTTAAATTAAACTAATATTTTAAGGATTACTATTCGTATTTTATTATTTTATAAAACTACATCCTCCCGACGTTTCGGTTACTTTGGAGCTGCCGTGATTACGTCTCGTGTGCCCGTAAAATACGCGTAGTAATCCAAAAAATATTAGTTTCCTCAATTATAATATATATTCTAATTATCAAGTAATTTAGTGCGATGGACCTGTTTATAATTTAATGTCGGTGGTGTACAAATGAAATTCTGTACGAAATCAGTATTTGTTTCGTTTAATGATGGAAACTTTTGGTAAGGATAAAAAACTGGCAGTAAAATACGATCGATAAGTATTATTTTAAATTATGTTTTATATTCCCTGCAAATGTTTATTATTTCAACATTTTGAATGAAAGAATTCTTTAGAGGGCGACCTATATTTTTAAATTGTGTTCATGTTTGCTCTCAAACCGGTAGATCAATTTGACAGCCGTTAAAATAATCGAATTTTAAGACGTTTCAGCAGTGACAGTCACCAACAGGTTCGTCCTAAATTATATTATTGATAACAACATCATATGGAGTTTTAATCTATAAAAGAAAGTTGTTTTAGTTACACTACTTATAACCCAAGAATGGCTGTAGTGATATTTTTGGAAATAGACGGTTAG